GCGTGTGCCAGATGTAACCAGCGACGTTGATAACTGTCGAAGTTATTTGCTTTAAATTACAATTAGTTATGTTGACAAAATACGAAGAAAAATATTTTACAGAACTCGTAAACGATATCTAATCGTTCCACTGATTTGAACCGTCTTTTTCCGTCCGTATCCTTACAAAAAGAATTATAAAGTGTTTTACAATGAAAACAATGTATTTGCTGCAGTAGATAACCTAATTTATACTAACATTATAAAGATACAGGATTTGTATTTTTTTATGTTTCGAAATAACTCAAAAACTACTGGGCCGATTTTAAACATTCTTTCACCGTTACAAAGGTAATTTTTCTAAGTAACATAGGCTACATCTTCCATGCGAGCGAAGTCGCTAGTAACTAGTGCTAAATAAACCAATTAAATATAGAAGTTAGTGTGACCTTTACCTACAAACAGCTGACGCAGCAAAACCCTGATAAATACCGCAAATGTTATCAGTATATCACGTTCTATAAGTAATAATATATTAATATCTTAAGTATTCTAACATTGATTGTAAGTACAGATGTCCTTAATATATTACAATATGTGTAAGTATTCTGCAAAACAAGGTTTTAAACAACGACCTAGTACATAAACATTTAACAGTAATTATAACATAGACGTAGTCTCTTCCACTAATTAAAATATTAAGATTTATTTGAAAAACAAAAGTATTGCTCATGTGTTCTTCCAAACTATCCTCCACATTCATACCAAATATCATCGACATTCGTGAAGCAGTTTAGGCTACAAATTCTAATAAACATCTATCCATCGATATACCTAAACATTCGCATTTATAATACTCGTATTAGTATGCTTAATTACAATAAATCTGGAGTCCTAATAGGTTTAAACACACATCTAAAAGTTATTTGTAAGGTCGTCAAAAATTTCATGAGTTCAATCGGTTTTTGTGCCCAATGATTGCAAAATTTTCGAGTGATACAAACATTATTGATGACGTTACGAAACATTCGTGCAAGACCAATAGGTTGTACAAGTACGCTCCTTAGATTAAAGGTACTTTCAACCTCTTCTAGATCGTTTATTGTGTTTAATCATGGATCATAGTTTATATCGAAGTAGTTTTACAGTGGTAGTGCCCGCTTTAACATCTTAGCACGAATAGGCCGGCACGCCCGGTGTAATACCACGACCACACAAAAGCCAGGCGTGAAAGTAATTCCGTGTTTCGTCTGATGAGTGTGGTGCCGGAGGCCTAATTTAAGTCCCTTACTCCTTACCACCCTTTTCTCATAAGGAGTGGATGGGAAGGGGGAGTGGAGGAGATGCATAGGAAGGGGAAATATCCTCTTTATATGCGTCTCCGCCTCCGTCGGATACGGGTAGGCAACGCATCTACAATTGCGGATGTCTATGGGCAGTGGTCGCTTCGCCATTTTGGCGGATTCGTGTGGCCGCTTGCTCGTTTGCCACCTTATGTTATTAAAAAAAAAGATATATATGTAATACGCCATTTTATCGTAACAAATTAACATGTGTAGTTTAATTAGGTCAAGAGAACATGAAGCGAGTCAGCTGCACTCAACGTACAATTTCGCCGCTACCATTGTTTTGTATTACATCAACGTAAAATGTCTAGTGAGAAATCTTCACTAAAGTATCCCTTAGTAATTTAACGAAGCTTATTTTACTATAATTTATTACAATGAGTGAATGTTAGACCTAGACATTAGCAGCTTTAGAGCTGCATTGCATTGCATTGATAATGACGTCATAGATTTCAAGTGTCATGTTATAGTCTACGTATATTATCCTTAGATCCTGTAGAATGAGCTATTTTTAAACATTCAAGTTAAGTAACTACTTGTAATACTAAACGGAGTCATTATTATTTCATCATCGACACACTTTATTCCTGACAGAATCATTTGGATTGGAGAATGGAATATTACGACATAGTTTGCAATACTATTGCGAAATGCAGTCAATCTTGATGAGTACAAATAAATCAGTACTCTTATATGCTGACTGTCCATATGTTGCTAGGCGTTTATATCTCTACAATTGCTGAAGAAAAGATAATATAAAAGCTAATTTTGAACCTAGATAGGGTTCCTTATTTTGCGCGGACGAACTCGCAGTCGACAGATATCGTCAATTATCAGATTAAAAAATTCCATTCGACCAAACGAACGTGTCTAGCGGTGTGTTGGATGTGACCGTTATTCTAAGAATTGTTTTGTTGCTAGATGCACGGTCATATCTGTATTGTAGTGTTCAAACTTTACAACCGCTTGGTGTGCGTTGCGAACATGTTTACGCATAGGATACCAGTTAATTCACAAGCAAAAAACATTGCAAAAGACAACACTGGAATATGCCAGCTCTCTACTTTTAAAAAGTTAAAATGTTTTTTTTATATACACAATATAACGTACGATGCAACGTACATGTACACAAATTAAAAACTAACACTAAACGATATAAACAATGTAAACAAAGAGAACAAGGGAAACAAAATGGCGGGCGAGAGGGCAAACGAGCGAGGTGTCAGCACAGTGTAGCAGTTGTGTGTTATGAATGCGTATGTGTGAATGCGTGGATGTAATATTATAAATAAATGATAAATAAATAAATGTAGTGTAATAAATAGATAGATAAATAAATATGTAAATAAGTACACTACAAGTTCAGTATGCATTTTATGCTTGCAGTAAAATTAACAAAGTTTGGATAGCACTATACATTAAAATGCCGATTGCTTTTTGAGATAAAGCGTTTCTTGCAATCAATAGGTTATTGGGAACTTTGGGTGTATTTAAAGTAACTTTGTATATATGTGAAACAGAATACCACGACTTACAAAAAATATAGGTACAATATAAGACCATAATTACTTTTTAGTAAATTGTCTTTTGAAGGGTATACTAAGGTCAAAAGCTTACCGTACCAACACATATTTGTGTTAAATTTTTGTTCTTATAATAAGAGTTTGGTATTCAATATTCTTAATTGGAATCAACTGGATTAGATAACTGGAATGGAATAATGTTGATTAGATATTTTTACATCATAAGGTAATAGCGAAGACATCGCTGCTTGAGAGCCACAAAAGTAGATAGGTTACCTTCAATCGGAGGAGACTTCCATAAAGTGGATATCCCCTACTCTTTATTTAAGGATTGTTGACGGCAAATATATGAATGCAATTTTGTAAACTAAATATACGCTGGGGCGTGACGTCATTAAATACTTTGCTAATACGCGTTTGATGGCGACCTGCCAACTGACAGACCAAAGTCAATGTCGGTAAGAAAACAATATGGATGTTGTTTGTTGTATGAAAATATCTTGTAACAACAAAGGTTTGCAGACAATATTAAAGTTTGCAGATTTACAAGGTCAGAACCTCAACCCAATTATACTAACTAGTATACATAAAAAAAAACACTATCTACACTATTAATACAAATAGAATGTCTGTAAAATAAAAAATAAAAATGTCGTCTCTGTCATTAAGAAATCATTGGATAATTGAGAATTAACATAAAAATGGTCATTAAAAAGTTAATACGCAATAAAAACTATATTTTAGAACTTATAAAATACATTAAAACATATCCAAACGCATACAAAAACAAACTTCAGTAATAATCTGCAATTTATTAAAATATTGTAAAAAGGGTCAAGTGAAACTGGTTTGCAGTGTAGCAAATAAAGATCAACCAGCGTGGTTAGACCTCCCATGTGAAAAGAGCCGAAGGTCGCTCAGTCGCCCAAACAAACCGTATACATTGCCCCGGCGCATAACGAAAGTCGCCGCACTTGCGTAACGAACTAGTGATGTGTCTGCTATAGCTATATCGATAACAATGTCGATTAGTCTTAGCGCTCAGA